GGAGTAATAATGCTGAACATTCAGCTCTCCCATCACAGGAATAAATTACATTGTGAAATATATTCAACTAGAAAATGGTTAATTTAAATGTGAATAATATTTCACAATATTACAATATTACTCTTTTTACTGTATTTTTGAAAAAATAATTGCAGCCTTGGTGAGAATAAGAGGCTTATGAGACAGAGCACCCTAGCAACCACATAGCAACACCCTGGCATCATGGCGGTGAAGTTCTGCATAGAGAGCATCCCCAAAAAATCTTACAGAATTAACAGCTCTTAACAGTTTACTCAACATTTTATGGGTTTTTGCCTCATGACTGAGACACACAGGAAGAGAGAGAGAGAAAGGGGAACAAGATCAGTATGTGATATGGGTCAAATTCAAACCAGCGCCCTCTTGAGGACAACTGCTCATATGTTGAATGATATACCACTGTGCCACAGCGCCAACTATCCAACATCTTTACCGATGATAGCTTTACAAAACAACTCTATAAGATACACTAGAGGCAAGCTGTGATTTATACATTAGCAGGCAAAACTGTATTTATGGCCTCCTCTGCCTCAGCACTCAGAGTTTGGGTATATTCAACTTTGTACTTTGACATTATCGTTGTGTTGCTTGGGGAGGCAGGAAATAAAAAAGAGAAACATGTCTTGTAGCTACAGCCATCAGCGTCGCTCATGAGAGAGCACAAGCGCGGAGCTCACAGAGTTACTCTGGCACGACTGGAGAAGAGTTTGTGTGATGAGACAAAACCGTGCGACAACTCATCTGTCATTTCCCTCACAATCAAAGCGAAAGAAAACAAAAAAAGAAACAAATCCACAGAATGTACAGGCCATTGAATAGAGTGACCTTTGAAAGGCTTAAATTGTGTTGGAAAGTAGCACTCAGTGACATTTCAAACACTCGGTTGAGTATGAGGTATCTGAAAGCTTAAACTGAAAAAAAAGAGATATACAGATATAGCTTGTAGCTGAACAAAATAATAAAAAAGACACTGTGTATATATACTGTTTATATTTATTATGTATATATAAATACAAACATATACAGTATACAGTGCTGTGAAAAGGTTTTTGCCCCCTTCCTGTTTTTATTTTTTACATATTTGTCACACTTAAAAGATTCAGATCATCAAACAAATTTTAATATTGCACAAAGATACAAGTAAATACAAAATGCAGTTTTTAAATGATGATTTCATTTATTAAGGGGAAAAAAGCTGTCCAAACCTACCTGGCCCTACGTGAAAAATTAATTGCCCCCTCCTGTTAAATCATGAAAGAACTGTGATTAACCACATTATTTTAGAAAGCGGTTACTTTTTCACGTAGTGCCAGGGAGGTTCGGACAGCTTTTTTCCCTTAATAAATGAAATCATTATTTCAAAATTGCATTTTGTATTTACTCGGGTTATCTTTGTGTAATATTAAAATTAGTTTGATCTGAATCGTTCAAGTATGACAAATATGCAGAAAAAACAACAACAACAAAAAAAAACAGGATCACAGTATTTGGAAAATCGGCACACATTTGCACCCATACAACTATGAACCATCACACAAATTGACAGAACCATTTAAATTTCATTGCCCTCTTAATTGAAGAATTTAAGTTTGAATGAATTGTGCATTCAGCATCTAATTCTGCCACTAATGAATAGCTAATGAATAAACAGGCTGCACAGTGTTTCACTTTGTGGAATGGAATGTTTCAAATCCCACTTCCATTTGATCAGACACTTGGTATTCCGGCGCTGTCGTTCCTGACTAACCACAATGGTGAAATGTTGTCTCTGATCGGCTCACCTCACAGGACTCCAAGCTGTTGTCCTGACAAGCTCTGGGTGCTCTTTAAACCACAAAGAAAGGACAAAAGCTAAGCATGCTAATAGTGTGGAAATCCCACACCAGCAGTCAGTGAGGGTAGACAAGATCACACACATTGCAGTCGATTTTTGCCGGTGAGAAGCTCAACAACTTAATTCAGATGAAAGGATAATATGAAATCAAGTTCGGAAGGAGTACTGGTCTGACCTCTGTGTTCAGTGTTTAGGAACAGTGTTGATTTTGGTTAAATGATCGTGTATGGAAGCACTAGGGGGAGTGTTTTGCTAAGAGAATGAGGGTGCAGGGTAGGCCTGTTCCCAGAGCCACTGTCCTGCATCTCAATGCGACTGCTGCAGTAATTATTGGTAATGGCAGTGATTATAAAAATGACACAGCAAATGCAATTTTGCCCCAATTTGCAAAGCTAATGTTGCTTAATTAGGGCTTTTGAAGGCAAAACCACATTTTCTCTTTGTCTTGATGATAAGTCGTTGTACTCAGGCAGATTTTAGCACCTAGAAAGATGTGAATGTGATTGTGTTGCCCCTAAAAAAAAAAAGAGGACTGTGCTGGTACCACAGTAATACCAAATCACTTTTACTCACTATACTGCACTACCACCACCACAAACAAAAAGTAAACAAATTAAAATGAATAAATAAATAAATAAAAGTGTAATAATAAACTGAAGTGTAAGTTCAGAAAATGTTATGCGAACAAAATAGAAATTACAAAATAATAAAATAAAATAAAAAACTATAAATATACATACTTTGTCTAATATTCATAAAATATAAATATGTTATGCAGCTTTATGTATTACTATTTTAAAAGGTTATATAAATATATTAATTTATATAGAAACAAATATAAAAAGAAAATATATATATATATATACTGACTGACTTTGCTGTAAATTTTGTGTTGCGTTAAGGCAATGCACCACGCACTCGTTCTTTCAGCTGATTTAAGACTGAGCCGTGGAGGGCCGAGCGGGTCTCGCACTCATGCACCCGGCGCCGGTACCTGCCAGTGACTGGTAATGACAGAGTAATGGGAGGGACTCGGGAAAACAGGAGGGCAACAGGGCAGAAACACGGTGCCAGCAGGAAGAGCAGATAAAGTGGCAGCAATAAAAATTATATGACTACATACATCATCCTGACAATGTATAATTTTATCTGAGAGGGCAGCGGCAGGGTCTTTCTGCTTGCTTTAAATAGATGTGGTAGGCTAACGTTACCTAGAAGCCGTCTGGCGTGCGTGGAGGTGCTAGAAGAGGGAAGCCTCCTCATCTTCACTGGCTGATAGCTCTTTCTACATAGGCTAGAACAGGGTTCTTCAAATCTTGCCCTGGCATTAGTAGCCTAATGTTGAGAGTTCTTTACTCTCGCTTTCTGTACCCAGTTTATTCCATGTTGTTGTTTTTTTATTATTATTTTATTTTACAAGAGAAATTGCGAAGTTTTGATTTACTACTAATGTGTAAAATAGAAAAAAAAATGCATAAATGCATCTCCGACTGTTTTGTCTGTGTACCCTAGGCCAGGGTTCCTCAAATCTTGCCCTGGAGGGCCAATGAGTTGAGCTCCAACCCTGATCAAACTCACCTACCTGTGATTTTCTAATGATTCTGAAGACATTGATTAGCATGCTCAGGTGTGTTTGATTAGGGTTAGAGCTAAACTGTGGATCTAGTGGGCCAGATTTGAGGATCCCTGGGCTAGAATAAAGCAATTCTAAAGAATCATGTGACACTGAAGACTAGGATAATGGCTGTTGAAAATTTAGCTTTGCATCACAGGAATAGATTAGGCCTACATTATATATATATATATATATATATATATACGGTATATGATTCTTTAGAATTGCTGATTTGGTATTATTATTAATGTTGAAAACAGTTGTGCTGTTTTGTAACATTATAAATATCTTTAGTCATGTTTGATCAATCTCAAAAGTCCTTGCTGAATAAAATCTACCAATATCTAAAATTAAAATTAATTTCTTTAAACAAAAAATCTAAGCAAAATCTTGCTGACCCCAAATGTTTGATAGATATTTTATTTAAACTTTTTTAATTAAATATTTTGAAGGTAAAGGTTGAGACTTTGTTACACTGATTATATTCTTGAAAGTATTATATAAAAAATTAAGAATTTCAGTACCACAAAATCACCACAGTATCTTTTTGTATGGATCAAATTACCACAGTATGTTTTGTAAGTACCATTTGTAAGAAAGTACCATGTAAATACTATGATACAGGAACCATGGTAGCCCATAAATCACAATAGTCTTATGTTGTTTTAGAAATTATACTATGGTTAAATCACATTTATTTGGACAAGTAGTGTGTTAATACTATAGTATTCTAACCATACCACAGTATTTATTCTTGGTGTACCACAATATTGTACTCATTCAGTACCATAGTAGCCTATATATCAAAATACCATAGTATTACCATGTTTTTCAGGAATGTCCTATCATAACACCACCCACCACAGCCTCTGAATGTAGCCAACCACGTGACATCTCACATACCCCCTTGACAGTACCACGGTACCAAAAGACAGACCGATAAACGCTGCCTAGCGTTTATGTTTTTACAGCATGTAAAAGACCAGAAACATTAATCTTACAAATCTCACATGCAGACATGAACTTTTGATAGCATTTCACGAGAGGCAGACACAGTGACAGAAGTGTTTTATCACCATGGTAACGGTTCAGTGTTTTCAGTCACAATGGCAGTGTCAACCTGGGTCCCTCGGGGAACTTGTCATAGGCAATCTCACACTGGCTTTGACATGTCGTGACACCGCTTGACCAGATTAAAAAGATTATACTCCCTGGTTTTCCTCTGAAGGTCAGCTCTGTTTAGTGTTACAGCCCTGAGTGAGCAAACATGGCAACCAGCCTTAAATCAACAGACCTGCGCCTGGCAAATTGTCATGACTCACAACAGACCGGACTGAATGTCACCGCCGTTCTGCAGACTGAGAAGTATTGTGTGTGAAGTTGGTCATGACAGGGTCAAATTTAGAACTACGCTTTAAGCCGAGTTGACGATGCATAAGTGGTTGCGTATTTGCAACACCTGCTCTGGAACGAAGAGTCATTATCTGGGAAGTGATCACAATAATGCATTTATTTGAAGTTATATGTACAATTTTTAATACCAGGTGCATTTTACATAAATAAAACTTGGATGACATTCAAAACAGGCATGTTAGGTGTCACGCTCATAGCCTGATTCGCTTTTCCTCTTCTTATTTTTTTGAGTTCCTTCCTCTGATTTCTCACAGCTGTCTGTTGACAAATGTGATGCCTGTGAACTTGGAAAGGTCTGACCAGAAGCAAGTACTTGTCGAACGGTCACATTTACCCGAGACGTCTGCAAGTACCAGGAGCAAACGTCCCAATCCTCTTCTGACACGCTTTGGATGATGTCATCGTCCTGTGCCTCCGTCTCTAGTCTCTGGCCCAGGCAGGGTGGCAGCACGTTTCCAGCGGGGGCAGGGACGATGCAGGGTACTGCGTGATACAGTAGGCGGCTGGGTCCTGACATCACCATTACGTCACCGCTGTTCATGAACATGGCAGTGGGCCGGTCTTCCCTATTAGTCCCACCCAACAGGAAAACAGCAGTCTGCCCAAAACTAACATCAAAAGACAAAAGGGTACTTATGCTGTATGGAAAAGATGCTACATGCACTTTAGTTTTTAAGTAATATTAGACATTGACAACCTCTGTATCTCCAATCACCAATGCTGCCTTCGAGTTATGTCGGAAAGACTGTATTAATGCACATGAACATCACCATCATGTCATAATGACCATTATTTTCTGGGAATCGCTATTCAAACACTACAAAAAATAGGTATGAATTAAACTGTGCTGTCAACATTCACAGACATATATATATATATATATATATATATTAGTCCATCCTGACTTTCAGATTTGAGTCAGTTAAAGAATCATGGCCAAAAAAAGGTGTTGCTCATAAATTAATTTTAAATAAAATAAAATGAAAAAAAGTTTGAACTTTAAATGTTGAAATTACAGTTTAATTCATACTCACTATGAGTTAACATGCTTTTATGACTAAAACTTCATTCCATCATTATGTATAGCAGAACAGAAATAATAAAATACATGCAGTAACATTCAAAAGTTTGGAGTCAGTAATTTTTTTTTTTTGTTTTAAAAAAAATTATCTTATGCTCAAGTCTACATTTGTTTGATCAAAAATACAGTAACAGTAATATTGTGATATATTATTACAATTTAAAAAAACTGTTTTTCATTTTAATATATTTCAAAATGTAATTCATTCCTGTGAAACTGAATTTTCAGTGTTACATAATCATTTTTATATGCTGGTTTAGTGCTCAAGTAACATTTCTTCTTCTTATTATTATTATTATTATTAATGTTGAAAATGTTTGTGCTGCTTAATGCTTTTGTTGAAGCAAAAATATTATATTTTTCAGATTATATTGATGAATATAAAGTTCAAAAGAACATCATTTATATTGCCTATTTAATAATGCATCCTTTCTGAATATTTATTCAAAAAAAAAAATCTTTGACTGCAAACATTTGAATGGTAGCGTAATGCGCATTTTTTCTTCTTCAGAATGATGTACTAGTTCTAAGCTTTCTGTCTTAATTTGAAGCACAAAACATTAAATTGCCCAGCACACCCTTGTTAATTAATCCCATGACTTCCACACTCATAAATAATATAAGTCGATATATGGAGCTAAAATTTGAGCAATATATATTCCTCACCTGAAAGACAACAAAGGTCGGGTATGGTCGAGCTCTGATTCGTCAACATGGATTCCAAGCGAGGAATCAGCTCGGTAGTAGTTGAGAATGCCCGCCTCTGCGTTAAAGCCAGGAAAGCCACAGGCTGCTGCCACTTTGTGAGAAAGCGAGTGAAGTTCCTTGGGGAAGGGAGTGTAGTGGTCTGGAGAGTAAGTCTGCAGAACGAAAGTATGGCATAATAGTATGCTTCATGATAGTACAATGGAGTTAATTACCTTTTATTATAGGAGTAGGCCTTTTATTTTAGGTAGTCATTTAGCAGTCACTTTTATTCAAAATGACTTACAGTACAGGTAAGCTAGGGTTAAATTCCTTGCTCAAGGGCACAATAGCTAATCTAGATCAATAACACAGTAGGCCATACCACCCTGATGTACGGAAGCTTATTTACGAAACAGAATTTAAAAAAATAAAAAAGGTAATTGCGACTTTCTCTCACAACTATGGGTTTCACATTTCAGACTTTTTTGACAATAAACTCTCAATAGTAAGAAGAAATGTCAGAATTATGAGATATAAACTGAAATAAAAACATTTTCACATTTACCTTTTTTGTTTATTCCACTGCGCATAAATAAGTTGATGCCCTTTTATCATGAAATGTAAAAAATGGGATGTTTTGTCATTGTGGCAAAATGCAAATATGACTAACATCATGAGTGACGTAATTGTTAAAAGAGCTTTTGCAGCGTTCTTTCTCCTCTGTGGCTTTCACAGTGGGTCATTGTCAGCGGTTATGCATGAATATGGTGTAATCAATGGACAATCATATGAACACAGCCTCTCCAAAGAGCTGAATTAGCGGCTTACACGTCTGATCCAAGCAGGGTGAATGCCTCAGCCTTCAGTTCTACTTAAAGGGAGAAGTAAAGAGTGTCTGCTTAAAATCCACCGACGTTCGGCGGTGTCAAACTAACATCAGAGCTAATGAATCCGGTGTGCACCTCCTGACTGATTTAATAGGACAGAAGACTAAACACTTTTATGTAATTAGCATATAAACGAGACAGGCAGACATCAGGCCTGTACAATTAGAGACGAAATGTCCTGAAAGGAGCAAATAATGCTAATAAGATCCAGGAAAATGTTTTCTCCCGCTCTTTGAAAAACAATAGGCTCCATAGTAAAATACTATATAAAACAACAACAAAAAAAAGGAAATAAAATAAATAAATAAATGAATAAAAAATACATGCATTAAAATAAATAAGTAAATATACTAACAATAATAATTTAATAAAAGTATGATAACTATAACTGGTAATTGGTAATGTTTAGACTATTTATAAAACATACCTACTGTACACTACCCTTAAAAAGTCTATTTTTAATGTTTTATACTGACCAAGGCTGTTTTTATTTGATAAAAATGTTCTTCAGTGTCATGATCCATCAGAAAACATTCTAATGTTAATTGAGGAAACTCTGATACTTTTTACAGGATTCTTTAATCTCATTGTTACATGGTTATACTTATTGATAAAATTACATTATAAAAATAAAATGAAATTTAGTGTTAGACGCACAGCTAAAGCATGTAAAAAGCACATTAGAGAGTGAATGTCGTACCTTGGAGTTCCAATCATAGTGGTAACCCAGTGTTACCCAGCGCAGTTTTTCTAGCAGAGTTTTGGGCTCTCTTTTCCCACAGCCTTTCCTCCTGCAATAATACACAGACTCATTCAGATAAGGAACAGTGTGAGATGGATTAGGTGCAGTGCAGGAGCACAAACCATTTACACAAATGTTTTTGAGATAAAGAGGGTCTAACAAACTGCAAATGCTCAAATCTACCATCTAGGTCCCAGTAAAATTACAACAGACCTAGCCACAAGGAAAGCATCTACAGGGATGGAAAATGCTCAGTAGAGGATGAAGACACTCAAAATACACATATATAACATATGTTTTATTCTAAAAAAAAAATGCACAGAAATAATATACAATACAATTATATTCTACTAAGTTGCCAATGCAAGGCAGAAACTTACCGGATAACATCTATACTTTTTCCCCAGATGTTTTCAGTCTCCACAGATGACATATGCATATCCAGGTTACACACATTGGGTTTCTGTGGATAGATCTTCAAACACTGCTTTACCCAGTACTGCTGAGAACCCGGCAGGAATGGGTTGGATATAAAGATAAACCCTGTATTCCAACAGTGACAATATAATTAATTTAACCTCATCAAAAGTAAATAGGAAGACTCCCATAACAACATGTCAAGGAGCAACATGTTTTATACAGTGTTCTGTGTTCTCATATATTGACACAATCACTCGACATAATCACATAGAATATCAATTAAATCCATAAAATTATGTACATTCTGGAGAACATCCAGATTGTTAATTATTCGAAACTGCCACCAGCCTTTCTAAACCATACCTGGATATCCATGAAGACCAAATGCCCTCCAGTCTTTTACCGGCCGAAGACCAGCTTTGGAAACGTCTTCCTCGCTTATAGGAGTGGAGTTAAGTTCACAGGCAAAAACCTAACAAAGCAGACCATTTTGATGATTAAAAGCCCAAAACTGAATTTGTGCCAAGTTCTGTATGCATCAAATATTACATTTGATGCCAGAATTAGCCAATAAACATAGTTCATAGCCAAATTAGTTAATAAAAATAAAAGCCATAAAAATATTCTGACAACGGGTAAATAATAACAATAATATACACAGTCAAGTAAAGACCTCATAAAACACGTATATGGCAATATTCATCAAGTCTGAATGGCTCACCTTGTCATTATAAGGTCTGTTTTAATAAACATAGCACATAGTCAGATTAGTTAATAAATACAGCTAATCAAATGTTCTAATAACTGATTAATATCAATAATAATACCATACACATATATATATATATAGCGTCATAAAGTTAACGAATACGGAAATATTCTTCAGAACTGAATGACTCACCTTGTCATTACAAGGTTTGGAGAAATTAAGGACCTCACTGTAGTCCGGAGGAGGATTTCTCCTCTTGTAAAACTTGAACAATTTTCTGAAAGCATCTTCTCCATGCTCCACTATGGAGGCTGCCATCTTTGCCGTCATCTTGTGACCTTTCTACTTCTGACGTCAACGACACAAATCTGCGATTTGATTTATAAATATTTATTATATAATGCAAAAAAAACAACAATTATGAACATAAAATGTATCGTAATACATTATTTTAAGTTTCTTAATTGTATAGATTAATGGAATAAACATGTATTCTTCTGGTCACGTGGTCGGGGTCACCGTCAGCTTCATTCGTAAGGACGAAACATGGCGGCGACGGCAGCAGGCAAGAAGGTGTTTGAAGTGTTTGTGTCAAAAGTACTATGGACCGTCGCTACGAGTGAGTAAAGGATGAAATTTAATCAATGATTTTACATCAGATTAAATGAATATTAAGCATGCACGTACATTAAATGTCATTATCCTTATCCTTAACTCCGAAGCATCTTTGCTAGTATGGAATGTAATGTTTTGCATGTACAACAAATAATTGTCTAATGTATGTTATTGCACGGTTTCAGGGGACATTAAAGCATATTTTGGGCAGTTTGGCCAGGTGAAGAAGTGTCTACTGCCATTTGTAAGTATAAGGTCTTAGAATGCACGAAGATATAATGTTTCATCTTGTTAAAAGGCTGTGGTGCTGAGATGATTTCTCTCTTGTCTAACAGGATAAAGAGACAGGTTTTCATAGGGGGTTTTGCTGGATAGGGTTCACTACAGAGGAAGGACTGCAGAATGCATTACAAAAGGATCCTCACATCATTGAAGGAGCAAAGGTGAGTGTCCATTTGGAAACTACATGAAGTAGCCATAGATGTCTCTGGTAAATGTTTTATTTTGAACATCTGCATCAAAAATACAATTTTCTATTTTTCTTTTAATGCAGCTCCAGGTGCAAAAAAACAGAAAGCCGTTTTCTGGAAGAAAGTCAAACAAAGAAGCAGAAGACATCTGAAGAAGACATCAGGAATGATCTGATTTCAAGCGTCAATTGTCTTCAGTAACACAGAATTGTATTTATTGTGGATGTCTCTTCACTGGGCATATTTGTGTTTCAGAAGCCAAACTATAATGAGTGTTGATTGTCATTGTATTGTCTGGTGCTTTTTTTTCTTATGAAACATTTAATGAAATGTGAGTCAAATAAAATAAACATTTGGAAAGTCATTTGCTGTCGTGGTTACAGTTGGCTTTTCTTTGTGAGTCTACTCATTTTTGTGTGTACTTCAGCATTTTGCCTTTTGCAAAAAAATTCAACAGCGCTCTCTAAATGTTTTTTTTTTTTTTCCAGGAACATTTTTGTTATAATGGGGGGAAAGTCTCCTCACATCCTGAGTGCAATCAATAGTTAAAATGATCTAAATTAAAAAAAATATCAATCTTCTGTGGAGGGCTTAAGACCATAAAAGGTTTGTCCAATTATTGCATTCGGTCTGAATGCAATGATAGGATGTCTTACCTGCCTGTCAATGTATATATTATTCGCGCAGCCAATGGCGACAGTCTGGGGTGTGGCTGATGTAACAGGACGGGTCAGAGGGTGTTTGTTGGCTGTTTGGAAAAAGAAATTAATATTTCTTGAAGTGCAAGCAAATTTGAAGGGGTATGCTTCCCACCACTAGATCCACAAAAGAAGAAAAATCAAAGACTTGCCAAAATACACACAGAGACAGACAATGGAGTAAAACAAGGGTATACACTGGCAGTGTTTTTACAAAATGGAGGAATTTGATGAAATTCATCTATTTGGGTTTCCGCAAGCTAAACTTCAAGTTAAAAGTGTTCCTAATATGTTGGACTTTTTATTGAAAGTTGACTACTTTTACTTGATACATGTCTTCACTTTAATTGACCTGTAAGAGGTGTGTTTGTGACGTTTGAATTGGGGGAGGCATTTGCAAACGTTTGTTACTTTTGTTGTCCTGCTAGATGACACTAGCAGCGCAGAAACTGATTCCAGGTTTAATTCCTTACTACTTTTACATGTAATAGATGAGTGATAACTTGAGTGTTTTATGAAAAGCTTAGGTCATGCAAATGCATGACACATTTAATCAGTGTTGTTAATTTATTTAGAGGTTAATCAAGGCTGCATCTAGGATGACTTTGCTAATGTTCCGGTCACATTATCTGTCCGAGCTCATGTCATGTTAAATCTTGTCACGCTCCATCACTACCCTGTCTTCTTCACCTGAAAGAAAAAGTGTAGGCCTATATAATGTGTTTACGTTTTAAAATATATCTGTTGCCTGAGGTTCTCTGTAAGAAGAATGTGGTGGAAATCATTTTGCGTTTTATTGCTGTGAACATCTGCTCAGTTATATAATTTGATTAAAAATGGGATATGGTCATTAATTTTTGTACTTGCATCCACTTACCATAATGTAATGGTGTGGTTACTTATCTGAAAATGTTAAAATTAATTTTCAATCACGAGAATGTATTTGTGTAGTAGAATAAATCATAGCTGTGTTGGTTTCTCACACGCTTGAAAATAGATTAATAGCTTATAATATTTCATATTTAAGGTTAATTTTTAAATGGCACAGATAGGTATTTTTCCACTATTGACTGAATATAATTGTAAACTACAATGACCATGATGCATTGCGCGCCACGCACGTTGCGTTGTCAACAGAGACGCCAGAGTTGAAAGGTCACAGTGCGACACCGGTTAGTGGATGACAGCTTGACTCAATGAAGGTAAATCAATCAGCTGTTTTGTGATTCTCTGAAAATACTCCAATAACCAGTTATTAACTCATCATGCAATAAACCGGTGGCGGTTATTTTGTTATATTCTCTCTGTGTGTTACGCAAGCGCTTGTGTAACAAACGTTATCTGTGATCAGCTGACCGCGTCTTTCACTACACCGACTGATGTTACAACCCTCTACATTGCGAGTAAATCACTCGCATATATATATATATAAATATATATATATATATATATATATTTATTTATTTATTTATTTATTCATTTATTTATCAGTCTGGCGAGTAAACTAAAAAATGTACTAGCCAGTGGCGATTCAATTGCCAAGGTGTTCGTAGAGGGCTGTGGTATGAATGAAACGGGTTCACTCGTGCTTCGATTTCCTTTGTTTAGATTTGTAGTGGCGGTGTTTCATTTAACTTATTCATAAATTTGATCAATATCGTCATATTTCTTCAATTGTGTAATCCGGTTCATTTATTAGTTTTCATGACCATCTCACATGGTCAAAACCAGTGACGCAACAGCCTTGGTGTCACGCCCAATACTTTATCAACAGCAAATTAAATAACACTGTATTAGTGATTACTGTGTATTGTTTACTATGTATTATTTTTTGAAAATATTAATATATAATAATTAATGATTTAATTGTTATTTGCAAACGTTATGTATGGGAATACAGTACACAAATATGAAATATGAGAAAGGAAATAATTAGTTATCAAAGTCTAAGCTTGATTTGAATGTTTTTTTTAAACTTAGCTGATGTTTTGAATGTACAGTATACTTACTACAGAGGCAGCTGCTCAGTGATGATGGTGATGGATCTCTGTGTTTTTGCAGCTCCTCACATGGCTGTTCGACTGCTGAAGGTATCATCTGTAGCCACTGCAGTGTTCGCATCGTCAGGATTCTGCTTGTACAGCAAAAATGTGGACTTCAATGATCTCAGCATCATCAGATTTGGGAGGGCAGCTGCAACAGTAAATATGATTATTATTATTTTTTCATTTAATACTTAGAGTTCATTATAGTTTTAATCCCTTTGAAAACGTTTTAATAATAAATATTACTTTTATATTAAATAATTTATTAAATATAAATTGAATATCAAATATTTTTAATACTCGTGCTTGAATCACAGTAAGTAAATTACTTAAAAAATATATCTAAAATAAAATGCAAATACAGCAGATTTTAAATGCATTGTCCTGTCTAGTGTGCAGATATTTATTCACAGTTTTCTTCTTTTTCTTTGAAATGTACCATGGTAAAACCATTGTATCTTTTGCAGTACCATGTTAATTCCATAGTAAATAAACATGGTAATCATGTAGTATCATATTACTGAAATCATATTTAAATAAGATTTTACCATCTGATATATCGCTGTATCATGGTACACAAGATCACTTTTATTTACTTTTATTTAAGAGTATTTTAACTGTTGAGATTTTCACAGTATGCTAGTTTTTTTGAGTGATAACTTGAATTTATGAATCAGAGTTATGAATTGACAGTTTGAACTGATGTGAAAAAATGTGCCCTTTTGTTCCCCACTGTCCTTTTTTCATCACTTATTACTTTTAAAGGGGTCCTATTATGCTCTTTTACAAAGTCACTTTGAGCTTTGTAACTTTGCAGATCGTTTTTATGCTCAAACAGCAACATTACAGACTAACTAAAGTTGAAAAAGTGAAAAAGCATAATAGGACCCCTTTAATTAATTAATATTTTTGAATAATTCTTAAATACTACTTAAAAACTACTGCGTTTGAGTCACTGTAAGTAAATTACACTGTATTTGCATTTTTTTCTGAATATTTTAAATGTATTGTTCTATCTCTATTGTGCAGATTTTTATTCATAGTTTTGTTCTTTGTCTCTGAAATGAATGTTTTCAGACGACTGTCATCAGTTATGACTACCTCACCACTCTCAGAGATGTACAGTATGGGACAGAAGAGTACTGGGCTGTCAAATCAAAGGTAAAACTTTTTGTCTCAATGGTGATAGGTTATATCTAGGAATATCTGCTGTGTGGACATTTTTCTTTTTTATTTCATTTATTTTGGGCTTTTGCACTTATTTTAGAGGAAAGTGGAGTGTAGCCAGAAAAGTAGGGGTCCCTGGGCTCTGACATAGACATTTTTCTTGAAAATCCTAATTTCAAGAAAGGAATATTGTGGTCCTGTAAAATAATTTTCATAGAGAGGAATGAGCACTTTTGCCATAGAGTGCATTAAATATGTGCTGCTTCTGTGAACCGCAGAGTTTGCTTCCAAGAGGTCCAGAAAAGGCCTGAACAATCATAAATGGCTA